CCAGGCCCCTAGTAGTTCTATAAAGAGCTGAGTCAGGAGACCGTTATCCTCGGGACATATTCTCCAGATGTCTCAGCATCTGGAACTTTAAGTTATCTTTCAAAAGAAAGTGGACACATACCAACATGTATAAATCAGTCCTTTAGTCCTGAGAGCCACTCAAGGGGCGCTGTGGAGAGGGAGAGGGTGAAGCAGGCGGGAAGGGCGAGTGGCTCTCCTGTTTTCTCATGGGACTTCCGGGTCCTCAGGGTGCACCCCCTGCACCCTGCACAGGCTGGTGTCTCCCCTGGAATACCATCAACCCCCTCCTCCATGGCTGACTCTAGTTCATCCTTCTAAACTCAGCCCAGAGCCTGATTGGTTTGGCTCAGTGGATAGAGCATTGGCCTGTGGACTGAAGTGTCCTGGGTTCAATTCCAGTCCAGGGCACATGCCCAGGTTGCAGGCTTGATTCCCAGTAGGTGGCATGCAGGAGGCAGCCGATCAGTGATTCTCTCTTATCCTTGATGTTTCTGTCTCTCTCTCCTTCTCCCTCTCTTAAAAAAACAAAACAAAACAAAAACTCAGCCCAGAGGTGCCTGCTCCATGAAATGCTTCTTCCCACTTCAGGCGAGTGCAGTGCCCACTGGTGTCCCTTACCCACCCACATCCTTGCTCGCACCTTACTGGCTGGCCCTCCTGTGTGCCGTGTCTCTCACTGCATTCCTCCAGGATGGCCAGGACAGCCTGCCCACATCCAAACCCTAGTCACACCCCGTTCCAGTCTGTGACTCAGTCTCCGTGCCTGTGGAATGGGGATCATCATTCCTGCCTCAGTGGGTAGTTTTGATGATTAAAATTTCTAAAACACTTAAACAGTGCCTGGGACATACCTGCTCAATAGATACGAGCTATAGTAATAATGAAAATAGTAATTATAATTACTTCCACATGTGTTCACAGAGCTGTGGTGACATGGGGACCGCGGTTAGCCTAGGCCACTGCCCCGGCCTGCAGGGGCTGTTGAGCACTGAGGTGTGTGTGGGTCACGCTGAGATGTGCTGTGAGCACAGCCCACCGTGAAGGCAGCACAAAAACTGACAGCGAAGTTCAGTCATGCTTTTATATTGAGTGCGTGTTGAAATGACATTTTGGATCTTTTAGCTTAAATAAAATATATTCTTAAATATAAAGCCAGCAGCTTGTTTTAACTTTTAAGAGGAGACTGCAAGGAAATCTAAAACTCCATACGTGGCCCCATTATATTTTCGTTGCACAGCCTGGATCTAGGATGTTCCCCACCCTCTGTTAGAATTGCAAAGCCTCACGCCTTATTTATGCTCACACTTTATGTAAACTTTCGGAGCAGAGATGGCTTATTGGAGCTGGAAGCTGTCAGATTGGTTTGTAGGGTCCCACGCGGGGCTAACAAGCTGAGTTCACCCAAGCGGAAGGGGACTAATGATTTGAGGGGTTCAGGTTCAAGGGGGCTCACGCTTTGGGGGATTCAGGTTCAAGGGGGCTCATGCTTTGGGGGATTCAGGTTCAAGGGGGACTCACGCTTTGGGGATTTTTCAGGTTCGCTGTGATCCTGAGATCCAAGAGCTGCGTCAGTGGCAGAAGAAGCTGCGCGAGGACAAGCACATCCGTGAGCGGGTCAGACTCTTCTGGGCCAAGCAAGAGCAGAAAGGTGGGCTGTCGGAGCGGAGGCAAGGCCTCATCTCCAGAGACTCTGACTTGCTGTTTCGGGATGGGCCCCAGGCACCGTGCGATTGCTGAGGTCCCTGGGTCTGACCGGCAGCAGGTTGGATACTGACGAGGGGCTGGGCCCCAGTTGCTTTGTGCCCTTTACCACGTGGGCCCTGCAGGTCTGAGCGCGGCGCAGGAGGAGAGGCCCGGTCATCGTGAGCGCACTTGCTGTTTGTTGTGCTATTTGTCTTCACTGCTAGTGTGAGCTCCATGCAGACAAGATTTTCCCTAGTTCAGTACCTGCCACAAAGTGGGCCCAAATGAGTACTGGCTGAAGGAGTGAGTGAGTGAAGGAGTGAGTGAGTGAGTGAGTGAGTGAGTCAACAGGTGAAGGAGTGAGTGAGTGAGTGAGTGAATGAGTGACTGAACAGGTGAAGGAGTGAATGAGTGAATGAGTGAATGAGTGAGTGAGTGAGTGAGTGAATGAGTGAGTGAGTGAGTGAATGAGTGAGTGAGTGAATGAGTGACTGAACAGGTGAAGGAATGAATGAGTGAGTGAGTGAGTGAGTGAACAGGTGAAGGAGTGAATGGATCCCTGGGTTTCAGTCTGCAGTTAAGAAATAGAGGCCCAGGAAGGTGGAGGGACTCGCCCAAGGTCACCCGCAGGTGGGGAGCGCTTCCTGTGCTCAGTGCTCTCACACATGCCTGAGGGGAGAGGCAGAGACAGGACACCCTCCTGGGTCTCCATCAGACCAACCCCAGGAATCCCCTGAACACGGCACATTCTTGTCCAGTTTCTGGGCGTCAGGTTCTTGCTGTTTGTGTTGTGTTGACCGAAGCCCCCGTGTAGGAGCAGGGGACCGCCTGCCACTAAGAGTCCCATCGGGGGTCCTCGCGCTGAGTCATTTGTCAAGCTCACGCACTACAGTTACTTCCTGTTTTGATCCTTAGGAATCTGGGTTGCTAGCGTGGAGATTGAGAAAAGAAGTCCCCAGCCAGGGTGGCACTGTGGTTAGACCCACAGACCTCTGATGAAGCCATTTGAAAATGAATGGAAACATATGTTAGTCCTTTAGATTTGCAAAAAAAAAAGACAGGCAGAGCCCGGCTGGCGTGGCTCAGTGGTTGAGCATTGACCTGTGAACCAGGAGGTCTCAGTTTGATTCCTGGTAAGGGCACATGCCCAGGTTGCAGGCTTGATCCCTAGTAGGGGGCGTGCAGGAGGCAGCTGATCAATGATCCTCTCTCATCATTGATGTTTCTCTCTCCATCCCTCTCTGAAATCAATAAAAATACATTTATTTTTTTAAATAAAGACAAGAAGAGTGATTGCAAATAAAAATGATGTTTTTTACTTCATTTAGAAAACCCACAAACCCATCTGTGTGCAAACCCAGCAAACAAACACTGTTTCTCATGGTGAAGTCATTTATTCAGACTGTGCTCTGTACTGTCGTATGAATAAACTCGCCACGTTCATTGCTGGGAGCAGCCGTGGTGCAGCCAGGAGGCCAAGGGGCCCAGCACCAGCTGCCTGGTGCTTGTGGTCATTTATAACCGGCTTATGTTACTCGGAGTTAGAGGCATCCCAAACCGGATTTTCTTCTAGGACAGAGACTGATGATGTTATCCTTGAGTCTCTATCGGGACAGTTGCAGGAATTATTTTAAAATGTTTGTGACAAGAATTGCTGCTAATATAATCCCAAAGATGATACCTAAGACATTTTTGAGATGCCATCGAAAGTCCCTTCTCAGTTACTAGCATGTCTTTAGCTTCATATAGTCCAACAGTTCTCAACCTGTGGGTCGTGAACTATGAAAATACATCCTGCATATCAGATATTTACATTACGATTCATAACAGTAGCAAAATTACAGTTATGAAGTAACAACGAAAATAATTTTATGGTTGGGGGTCACCACAACATGAGGAACTGTATTAAAGGGTCGGGGCAGTCAGTAATAGTTTTCCTTTGTGCGTTGTAACGGACTATCTGTATCTTATTGGAAATCTAGTAAGAGGAGGAAGAAAGAAACCATAGAGAGTGTTCCCATAACATCAGATTGTGTGTGTGTGTGTGTGTGTGTGTGTTATTTATTCGTGTACCAATACTCTTTAAATGACTATCACGTCATCTTGATATTTTAAAGAAAGAGGATGAAGGTGGTTGACCTGTCAAAGGAAACAGATGGTTTACTTTTATTTGTTTAACTGTTTATTCTCTACCTCCTTTCTAAAGTGGTTTGTAGTTGCTTATTTTTAGTAAATGTGGTAATTAGGTTAAGAAAAAAAATTAAGTAGGGAAAAGATAAAGCCACTAAATGGAATAAGCAAAATACTCCAAGGCTTACACTGGTGGATTGTAGATTTCTTAGAGACAAAGCAGAGTGGGAGGAGGGAGGGTCTGTCGCATAACCTGCAGTGTCCATAAGAAAGGAAAATGGCCCTTCCTCACCACATGTGGTGTGTATAGGAGTCTCAGTGGTGTTCCTACGTCACAGAGAAGCACGGCTGAGCGGTAGGCCCACACAGAGAAGGCAGCACACTGACCCTGAGGGAGAAGCCCTCAGGAAGACCCTGTGACGCAGTGGGAACCATCTTCCCCAAACATAACACGGGCTCCTTCCAGCAGCACCTGCTGTGGGAGGGGGGCCAGGAAAGCCTGGAGGGATGGGGCGGGGACCAGAGAATTTCTTTCCCTGATTTTTAAATCTAGAATTTTAAGTGTAGATCATAATGACAGAGTTTAACTACTAGGGTTGGGTTTTAAGGGTGGTTTAAAGCACACACCTCATCCTGGCCACCCCACATCTAGTGCCCTGGCTGCCCTGGGGCATGTAGTGCTTAGATCGGGAAGGGTGTCTGGAGCTGAGGAGTGGCTGCGATTCACACAGCTCTGACCCAGCGCCTTACGTTTCCATGTGACCTCCCGCTGCTCTCAGAGGGGGTGTTCTCTCTGCTGCACAGGCAAAGCCAGGCTGAGATGAACAGGGCTCACACAGGGTTGCATGGCCAGCAGGGCCAGAACCACATCTGCCTACTGCCAGGGAACCCAAGGCCACTCATGCCATGTCGTCCTCCAGTTAATGTCACCCTGGTGCCAATGGGCGTGCTGGCCCAGGCACAGCTTCCCAACAGGGAGCCAGAACCCCAGCGAGGCAGTGACCATGGCCAAAAAATCGAGGAGGTTTGGGAGTGGGGAGGCTGAGTCCCTAGCCCCGCGACTGCAGGATCTACCGCCATGTGCCTGGGAGATGTTTCTTTAGAACAGGAAGCCGGGGCAAGTGGAGAAGGATAAGGACCTTCCCTCCCAAGTTTCCTGCCCATTGAGGGATAAGGAACAGCAAGGACTTCACTACAAACAGGACGCCGGGCTCAGAGCACACAGCCCGGGGCTTGGGCTGGGGTTCGGGCATTCGCTCTGCCGCAAGTGACTAACACACATGCTCTGTTGTCTAACAGCAAAGTCAGCTACTCAGTGACTTATCTTCCAGAGACATCCACTGAGTGTGTCAGCTCATAGTGTTTCTCCATCCGTCTACCAACATAGAAGTATATTTATACAAACAGTGTGGGGCAAAGTAGGTTTAGAGTTGTGAGTATGCAAAACAGTTTATTCTTGTATTATTATTTGTTAGTTATTATATTATTTTCCATATGAACAACTGTAAACTAAACTTGCCTCACTATATTTATAAACATACAAACATATTACATATAGTTACTGTAACTTCCTTTTTCCTTCACTTGGTGATATATCAGTGACATCTTTTCATGTCAATATATATATAGATCTATCTCATCATTTTTGTAGATATGCTCTTGGTTATTTATAGAACTACTAGAGGCCCGGTGCACAAAAATTTGTGCACTCGGGAGGGTCTCTCAGCCCGGCCTGTGTCCTCTCTCAGTGTGGGACACCTTGGGGAATGACCACCTGCTGGCTTAGGCCCACTCCCTGGGGGATTGGGCCTAAGCTGGCAGTCAGACATCCCTCTGGCAGCCTGGGAGCACTCAGGGGATGTCCACTTGCAAGCGGGGAGCAGGCCTAGCTGCAGTCAGACATCCTTAGCGCTGCTGAGGAGGCAGGAGAGGCTCCCACCACCACCGCTCTACTGGCAGCCGTCAGCCAGGCTTGTGGCTGAGCAGAGCTCCCCCTGTGGAAGCACACTGACCACCAAGGGGCAGCTCCTGCATTGAGCGTCTGTCCCCTGGTGGTCAGTGTGTGTCATAGTGACCAGTGATTCCCAGTTGCTCTGCTGTTAGGGTCAATTTGCATATTACCCTTTTATTACATAGGATAGAGGCCTGGTGCATGGGTGGGGGCTGGCTGGTTTGCCCTGAAGGGTGTGCCAGATCAAGGTGGGGGTCCCGCTGGGGTTCCTGGCCAGCCTGGGTGAGGGGCTGAGGGCCATTTTCAGGCTGGGCACACCCCCTTCAGGGAGGGGTGTCCTGCTGGGGTGCCTGGCCAGCCTGGGTGAGAGACTGATGGCTGTTTGAAGGCTGGCCAAGCCCCCCAACGGGGACCTTTACCCCATCAGGGTGTGGCCAGCCTGGGTGAGGGGCTGATGGCTGTTTGCAGGCTGGCCACAGCCCATTCATGGTAGGGGTCCCCACTGGGGTGCCTGGACATCCTGGGGGAGGGGCTGAGGGCCATTTTCAGGCTGTCCACACCCCATTCAGGGTGGGGGGTCCTGCTGGGGTGCCTGGCCAGTCTGGATGAGGGGCTGATGGCTGTTTGCAGGCTGGCCAAGGCCCCAGTGGGGACCCTCACCCCATGAGGGTGTGGCCATCCTAAGTGAGGAGCTGATGGCTATTTACAGTCTGGCCACAGCCCCTTCAGGGTGGGGGTCCCCCCTGGGGTGCCTAGCCAGCCTGGGTGAGGGGCTGATGGCTGCTTGCAGGTTGGCCACAGCCCCTTCAGGGTGGAGGTCCCCGCTGGGGTGCCTGGCCAGTCTGGGTGAGGGGCTGATGGCTATTTGCAGGCTGGCCACAGCC